AAAAAAAACAATTCTATTTAAAGTAGCACCAAAGGGCAGGTATTTGGGGACTGTGGCTAAGATACAGCTAGGGAAGCATGTGAGTGCCCTAGGGTGTCTGGATTTGAATACTGGCTCTGCTCCTGATTCCAGCTTCTGCTAATGTGCACCCTGACAGGCAGGTGAACACTCAGGTAGTCCCTGCCACTCACACAGGAGACCTAGATTGTCCTGACTCTTAACATCAGCTGTCCAGCTCAGTCCTGGCCATTGCAGGCATCTGGGTAGTAGACTTGCAAATGGGAATTCTCTGTCTCAATGTCTGCCTCTCAAATTAAAAAAAAAAAAAAAAAAGCGCCCCACAATGAGCTATCATCTCATGAACAATAGTATGACCACTACCAAAACCAGAAAAGTGTTGGCAAGGATGTGGAGAAACTGTGTAGTGTTGGTAGGATTGTAGGGCAGTGCAACCACCATGGAAAACAGTATGGGGGCCGGCGCTGTGGTGCAGTGGGTTAACGCCCTGGCCTGAAGTGCTGGCATCCCATATGGGTGCTGGTTTGAGACCCAGCTGCTCCACTTCTGACCCAGCTCTCTGCTATGGCCTGGGAAAGCAGTAGAAGATGACCCAAGTTCTTGGGCCTCTGCACCTGCGTGGGAGACTCCTGGCTTCATTGGCACAGCTCCGGTCCTTGCGGCCAATTGGGGGGTGAACCATTGGATGGAAGACCTCTCTCTCTCTCTCTCTCTCTCTCTCTCTCTCTCTCCCCTCTCTGTGTAACTATGACTTTCAAATACATAAATAAATCTTAAAAGAAAAAAAGAGAAAACAGTATGGAGGCTATTTGGATGTGCCTTAAAAGATTAAAAATAGAATTACTTTAAGATCCAATAATCTCGGGGCTTGTGCTGTGGCGTAGCAGGTAAAGCCACTGTCTGCAGTGCCAGCATCCCATATGGGTGCCAGTTTGAGTCCCAGCTGCTCCACTTCCAATCCAGCTCTCTGCAATGGCCTGGGAAAGCACTGGAAGATGGCCCATGTCCTTGGGCCCCTGTACCTGCATGAGAGACCCAGAGGAAGCCCCTGGCTCCTGGCTTTGGATCTGTGCAGCTCCGGCCATTGTGGCAAATTGGGGAGTGAACCAGTGGATGGAAGACCTCTCTCTCTTTGCCTCTCCTTCTTTCTCTGTGTAACTTTGACTTTCAAGTAAATAAATAAATCTTAAAGAAAAAAAAAAGAAAGAAAAGAAATACTGAGAGCATCTTCTTCTAAAAAAAAATCCAATAATCCCACCTCTGGAATTTTCTCCCATTCTGTAGGCTTTCCTTTTATTTATTTTTTTAAAAGATTTATTTAGGGGCTGACTGGTGTTGTAGGTAAGCCTGCAGTGCCTGCATCCCATATGGAAGTTGGTTTGATTCCTGGTTGCTCCTCTTCCAATCCAGCTCCCTGCTGATGTGCCTGCGAAGGCAGCAAAGAAATGGCCTGAGTGCTTGGGCCCCTGCACCCATGTGAGAGATCCAGAGGAAGCTCCTGGCTTTGGCCTGGCTCACTTCCAGCCTTTGTGGTCATTTGGGGAGTGAACCAGTGGATAACACACTCTCTCTGTAACTGTTTTTCAAATAAAATAAATCCTTTAAAAAAAGATTTATTTATTTAGAAAGAGATACAGAGATGGAGGGAGAGAGGGAGAGGAAGCTTCCATCTACTGGTTCACTCTCCGGACAGCTGCAATGGAAGTGGAGCAGCCAGGACTTGAACTGGTGTCCATATGGGATGCTAGTCCCTCTTTTCACATTATTGATAGTGTACTGGGTTCACAAAGTTTTAATTTTGGTGAAGTCCAATTTATCTATTTTTTTATTTTGTTGATTGTGCTTTCAGTGGATTCTATGAATCCACTGCCAAGTTCAAGGTCATGAAATTTGCCCCTATCTCCCCCACCCCCACTTTTTGGGGTAAGATTTATTTATTTATTTGAGAGGCAGAGCTACAGAGGGAGAGACAGAGAGAGAGGCCTTCCATCTGCTGGTTCATTTCCCAAATGGCCATAACAGCTGGAGCTGGGCCGATCTGAAGCCAGGAGCCAGGAGCTTCTTCTGGGTCTCCCACGCGGGTGCAGGGTCCCAAGCACTTGTGCCATCTTCCACTACTTTTCCAGGCCATTAGCAGGGAGCTCAATCAGAAGTGGAGCAGCAGGGACTCGGCATTCTCTAAGGGATGCCGGCACTGCAGAGGGAGATTTGACCTACTGTACACCACAGTGCCACCCCTATATTTTCTTCTAAGAATTTTATTATTTTAGTGCTTACATTTAGGTATTCAATCTATTTATAGTTGACTTTAAAAATTCTTTTTAGTTTCAGAGGCTGAGAGAAGGAGCTCTCATCTGCTGGCTTATTCTCCAAATGTCTACAATGGCCTGGATTAGGCAGGGTTGAAACCAGAAGCTGGGAACTAACTCAATTTAGGTTTCTCATGTGGGTGGCAAGGACCTTATTACTTTAGCCATCATTGCTGCCTCCCAGGGTTTGCATCAGCAGGAAGCTGGAATGAGGAGCTAGGGCCAGGAATCAAATTTAGGTACCACAATAGGGTATGTAAATGTCTTGATTAGTAGGATAAAGTCTGCCCCTTAGTTGACTGCTTATATATGACTTTAGGCTGGGGCAGAGGATGGGGATCTACCTTCATTCTTTTATTGTGGATGTTATTTTCCTAGCACCATCCACTAGTTACCAAAAGGTAATCTTTTCCCCATTGGATGGTCTTGGTAATCTTGTAAAATCGACTGGCCTTGGATTTTTGGATTTATTCTTAGACCCTGGATTCTAACACACTGATCTGTGCATCTGTCTTTATACTAGTGCCATTCTTTCTTGAATTATATTTCCCTAATGATTAACAATGTGGAGCATTTTTTCATGTGTTTATTGGCCATTTATATGTCTTCTTAGGAAAATGCTTATTTAAGTCCTTTGCCCATTTTTAAATTGGGTTATTAGTTTTTAATTCATAAGGATCTAGTATATACAACACTTAAAATATAACAAAAAGACTAACAATCCACTAATGAGATACCAGTTCATTCTTACTTAGATGGGTATAATCAAAACAAAGGAAATTAACAAATGTTGGTGAGGATGTGGAGAAATTAGAACCATTGTATATTGCTGATAGAAATATAAAATGGCTCAGTTGTCATGGAAAAGCTTGTTGGTTCCTCAAAAATTAAACATAGGGGTAGGAGTTCAAAGAAGCAACTAAGATGCTGGTTGGGATGCCTTGCTTCCCAAATCAGGGCCTGGTTCCACTTTCAATTTCTGTTTCCTGCTAATGTGCACCCTAGAGGCAGCAGATGCTGGCTTAATTCCTTGGGTCCCTGTGGGAGACTTGGATTGAGTTCTTGGCTCCTGGCTTCAGCATGGCCTAGCCCTGGCTGTTATAGACATTAAGGAAGTGAACCAGCAGATAAAAAAAAAAAAATCTGTCTCTCTCTGCCTTTCAAATACAATGAAAATAATATTTTTTAAAAAGTTAAACACAAAATTACCAGGATGTGTACTGTGGTACGATGAGTTAAGTTGCCTCTTGGGATGCCCACATCCCACATTAGAGTGCCTAAGATTAGGTCCCACCTTGACTTCTGATCCAGCTTCCTACTGGTGTACCTGGGAAAGCCGTGGAAGATGGCCCAAGTATTTGGGTTCTTGCCACCCATATGGGAGACTTGGATGGAATTCCTGGCTCCTGGCTTCAGCCTGGCCTAGCCCTGGCTGTTGTGGGCATCTGGGGAGTGAACCAGCAGATGGAAGATCTCTGTCACTCTGCTTTTCAAACAAATGAATAAAGATTTATGGTTTTATTTATTTGAAAGGCAGAGTGACAGAGAGAGAAGGAGACAGATATCTTCCATCCACTGGTTAACCTCCCCTCAGATGGCCACAAAAACTGGTGCTGGGCCAGGCCAAAGCCAGGGAACCAGGAGCTTTTTCTGGGTCTCCCATATGGTAGGGGCCCAGGGATTTGGGCCATCTTCCACTGCTTTCCCAGATTCATTATCAGGGAGCTGGATTGGAAGTGGAGCAGCCAGGTCTCGAACTGGCACCTACATGGGATGCTGGCACCATAGGCAGAGGCTTAACCTGCTAAGCCATAACACTGGCCCCATGAATAAATAAATCTTAAAATAAACAAACATAGAAATTACCATATGACTCAGCAATTTCACACCAAGGTACGTATTCAAATAACTGAAAACATATCCCAACAAAACACTTGTATACACACATTTATAGCAGTGCTACTCATAATAACTAAAAGGTAAGAACCTGAATGTTCATCAGTTGGTGACTGGATATACAAAATGTGGTATACACATACAATGAAACATTATTCTGCCACAAAAAAGGCATAATTTTTGATTCATGCTTCAACTTGGATGAACCTTGAAAATATTATGCTAAGTGAAAGATGGACACAGAAGGTCACATACTATATAATTCCATTTATATGAAATGTCCAGAATAGACAAACCCATAGAGATGGGAAGTAGATAAATGGTTACCAGGGCCTGGTGGGAAAGGGATAGAGTATGGCTGCTTAATGGGTATAAGCATTCTTCTGGGGAGATTAAGATGTTTTAAAAATTATGTAAAAGGTGATATTTGAGAGGCCAGCACTGTGGCACAGCAGGTTAAGCCACCACCTGCAACAATGGCATTTCATATGGGCACCAGTTTGAGTTCTGGCTGCTCCACTTCTGATCCAGCTCCCTGATAAAATACCTGGGAAAGCAGCGGAAGATGGCCCAAGTCCCTGGGTCCCTACCACCCACATGGGAAATCCAGAAAAAGTTTCTGTTTCCCTGGCTTTGGCCTGGCCCAGCACCAGTTGTTGTGGCCATCTGGAGATTGAACCAGCGGATGGAAGATCTCTCTGTCTCTTCTTCTCTCTCTGTCACTCTGCCTTTCAAATAAATACATAATTAATTTAAAAATACAAAAAAAGGGTAATGTTCAATAACATTGTGAACGTACTAAGTGCCACTGAATTATACACATTAAAGTGGTGAACTTTATGTTACATGAAATTTATCTCAATAAAAGAAACAAGCAGTGAGACAATCAGACTAGGTGTTAGAAAAGGGGATATATATTTATAAATCAAAAAGTCCCCAAACTCCAGCTGGAAGGACAGGAAGGAAAGAGATAGTAACGAACAGGTCCCTTTACAGCCCAACCTCATTCCTAAAGAAATGCTGAGTACCAGCCCACGGAGGCAGTCCCTGCCCTGGGGCCCACCTGTCCCAACCCAAGAAGCAATCCTTTCACTGGCCACAGCCTTCAGTCTTCTTGCCAGTCATCCTGCGCCCAGGCTGGCATGGGTGAAGAGTACTCAAAACCTGGCCCTTTATAGCGCAAGGCATGTAGGAACATCACAAGTTCCCGGGGCAAGGGATCCTGGTGCAGCAGCCGGCACTCTGCACACAGTGGGTCTGTCTCTCGATTTGGGACATCAGTTTCAGGGGCCTTCTCTGGAGCCGAGGCCGCTGTGTCCAGATCCTGGGAGGCTGCCTCGACTACTCCGGCCATCTTCGGGACTGCAGCCAACTTCTGCATGCCATCCTCGCCCAACTCTGAGGAGGGAGCTGTAGGGTCTGTGAGTCCTGGGGACAGGTCGCTCTCACACAGATCTAGCACGTCCAGGCTTTGTTTTGCTTGGTGCTCTGCCACCAGGTCCCGCAGCAGTTCCTCATCTGTCTTGGGAATGTGGCCACCTCGGCCTCGAGAGGGACCCCAGATAACTGAGTTGTAGATGGGGTCATTGAGAATGGGGTGGCCCAAGAACTGCAGATGGACTCGGATCTGGTGGGTGCGGCCTGTGAGTGGCCGGCACCGCACCACGCTGGAGTGGCCGTTGTAGCTCAGCCTCTGGAACACTGTCTCGCAGGGCTTGCCCCGGGGATCTACCCGGCACACGCCTACTTTGTAAGACACCACTAAGATGGGTTCCTTGCAGGTCACTTCCTCGACAGGAAACTCCCCTTCCACCCGGCACACGTACTCCTTCTCCAGCTACACAGGAGGGAAAAGCATAAAGTCAGCATAAAGTCTAAACCGTGGAGTTAAACCCTCTGTGGAGTGATAAGGAATGTATCAGTGTCAACCCCAGCTCCAGCATCTGCCAATTTTGTGATCCCGGACACACTACTTAACATCCTGAAGTTTCACTAACCGATCTGGAACATGTGACATTAGAACAGCATGTACCTCCAAAGACTGTTACGAGCATTAGGTAAGTCTGGCTCCAATGTGCCTGATACAAGCCTGGTATACTGCATACACTCAATAAATTTGCTATCCTGATTCAGAATTACAAGACCACAATCATCATCCTTCAACTCCTCTACTCAAAACTCTTCCCATTTCATCCAGAATCTCCCCACCAAGCCAGCTATCTCCACAACCTTGAAAAACTTGCTCAGCCCGTCAGTGCTTTAAAACTTCAAAACAGGCTGGCGCCGCGGCTCACTAGGCTAATCCTCCACCTAGCGGCGCCGGCACACCGGGTTCTAGTCCCAGTCGGGGTGCTGGATTCTGTCCCGGTTGCCCCTCTTCCAGGCCAGCTCTCTGCTGTGGCCAAGGAGTGCAGTGGAGGATGGTCCAGGTGCTTGGGCCCTGCACCCCAGGGGAGACCAGGAGAAGCACCTGGCTCCTGCCATCGGATCAGTGCGGTGCTCTGGCCGCAGCGCGCCGGCTGCGGCGGCCATTGGAGGGTGAACCAATGGCAAAGGAAGACCTTTCTCTCTGTCTCTCTCTCTCACTGTCCACTCTGCTGGCAAAAACAAAAAAATAAAAAAATTTAAAAAGACCATCCCCCCACCCCATCAAAAACTTCAAAACAACAAGTAACCAAGAGAGGCAATGTATGCCACGAATAAAGACCTTTTGAAACAAATGATATAACCTGTCTTTGCCACGTTAGGTGTTCATCTTCCTGATCAACATGAAGGCCCATTTGAGGTAATAGAACTCTGATGCATTTTGTCACAGAGTACTCGTGACCTGGCTCACCTGCCGGTCCCGAACCTGCTCATGAATTCTCTCAGACACAGCAGCTGTCTTGGCAAACATGAGCACCCCTGATGTAAGGCGGTCAAGGCGATGCAATGGGTGTAGCTCCTTGAGTTGGTGCTCCTTGCCCAGGATGAAGATGACTGTGTTATGCCGGAAGCGGCCGCAGGGGTGGACGGGAATGGAAGATGGCTTGTCTACGACCACCACGTCGTCGTTCTCAGCTAGTAGGCGAATAGGTTCTGCTGTAACAGGTGGCTCATGCCTGTGCACTGTGTTCCGCAAGAAATCATTGTCCTGTCAAAGACACGATAACCAGTCAGCCCAGGGACCACCAGCGTATAATCTGCTAACTTCACACTCAACTTCCCTGTTCCTTACTGACGTGGAAGAATGGCCACAGTACATCCTTAAGCAGAAAAAGCAGTGTATATCTCACCATTTCATTTTTTAAGACTTTTTTTTTTACATTCTTTTTGAATACTAAGTCTTTGAAATCTGGGGTGTGTTTTATACTTCCAGTGTGTCTTTTTTTTTTTACAGGCAGAGTGGACAGTGAGAGAGAGACACAGAGAAAGGTCTTCCTTTTTTTCCATTGGTTCACCCCCCAAAGGCCGCTGTGGCCGGCGCACCACGCTGATTCGAAGCCAGGAGCCAGGTGCTTCTCCTGGTCTACCCACGCGGGTGCAGCGCCCAAGGACCCGGGACAACCTCCACTGTACTCCTGGGCCACAGCAGAGAGCTGGACTGGAAAAGGGGCAACCGGGACAGAACCGGCGCTCCAACTGGGACTAGGACCTGGGGTGCCGGCGCCACAGGTGGAGGATTAGCCTAGTGAGCCGTGGCGCTGGCCTTTTTTTTTTTAAAAAAAAAAAGACTTATGTATTTATTTTAAAGGTAGAGCTATAGAGAGGCAGAGGTATAGAGAGAGAGAGAGAGAGGTCTTCCATCTACTGGTTCACTTCCCAATTGGCCACGATGGCCAGAGCTGGGCCTATTCGAAGCCAGGAGCCAGGAGCTTCTTCCTGGACTCCCACGTGGGTGCAGGGGCCCAAGCTCTTGGACCATCTTCCATTGCCTTCCCAGGCCATTAGCAGAGAGCTGGATCAGAAGAGGAGTAGCTGAGACATGAACCAGTGCCCATATGGGATGTAGGCACTGTAGGTAGAGGCTTAATCTACTACACCACAGCACTGGCTCCACAATCTCATTTTTTAAAAAAGATTTATTTTACTTATTTGAAAAACAGAGTTACTGAGAGAGCAGGAAAGACAGAGAGAGAAAAAGAGAGGTCTTCCACCTGCTGGTTCACTCCCTAACTGGCTGCAACAGCCTGGACTGAGCCAATCTGAAGCCAGGAGCTTTCTCTGGGTCTCCCGTGTGGGTACAAGGGTCCAAGCCCATGGGCCATCCTCCACTGTTTTCCCAGGTGCGTTAGCAGGGAGCTGGATCACAAGTGGAACAGCTGGGACTCAAACTGGTGCCAACATGGGATGGAGGCACTGTAAACAGAGGCTTAGCTTTCTATGCCACAGCATTGACCCCTTTTTAATGTTTACATTTAAAAAAGATTTATTGGGGCTGGTGCTGTGGTACAGTAGGTTAATCCTCTGCCTGTGATGCTGACATACCATATGGGCGCCAGTTCTAGTCCCGGATGCTCCTTTTCCAAACCAGCTCTCTGCTGTGGCCTGGGAGGACAGTGGAAGATGGCCCAAGTGCTTGGGCCCCTGCACCCTCATGGAAGACCAGGAAGAAGCACCTGGCTCCTGGCTTCAGATCAGCACAGCTCCAGCTGTTGCAGCCATCTGTGGATTGAACCAACGGAAGGAAGACTTCTCTCTCTGTCTCTCCCTCTCACTGTCTGTAACTCTACCTCTCAAACAAATAAATACAATTGTTAATAAATAAATAAATAAGATTTATTAATTTATTTGAATATTAGAGTTACAGAGAGATAGAGAGAGATCTTTCATCTGCTAGTTCACTCCCCAAATAGCTGAATCAGCTATGGCTGGGCCAGATTGATGCCAGGAACCAGAAGCTTGATCTGGGTCTCCTACATGGATGCAGGAACCCAAAGACTTAGGTCATCTTTTGCTATTTTCCCAGGCACCTTAGCTGGGAGCTGGATCAGAAGTAGAGAAGCCAGGACTTGAACTGGTGCCCATATGGGATGCCAGCGCTGCAGGCAGTGGTTTAACCCACTGCACCACAGTGCTAGCTATTTTAATTTTAATTATTTTTAACAGATTCAATATATTTCAGACACAATTCTAAGAATGTGACTTCCTCCCAAAGTTACATTTTTTTTTTTTTGACAGGCAGAGTGGACAGTGAGAGAGAGAGACAGAGAGACCGCCTGCGGCGCCGGCACACTGGATTCAAGTCCTGGTTGGGGTGCCGGATTCTGTCCCGGTGGCCCCTCTTCCGGGCCAGCTCTCTGCTGTGGCCCGGGAGTGCAGTGAAGGATGGCCCAAGTGCTTGGGCCCTGCACCCACATAGGAGACCAGGAGAAGCACCTGGCTCCTGGCTTCAGATCGGCACAGTGCACCAGCCGCAACACGCCGGCCGTGGTGGCCACTTGGGGGGTGAACCAACGTTACAAGGAAGACCTTTCTCTCTGTCTCTCTCACTGTCTGACTCTGTCAAACAAAAACAAAAACAAAAGTATATCAAAAATTATTTACTTAATTGAAAGAGAAAGTGAAAGAGAATCAGAAAGAGAGAGAGAGAGAGAGAGAAGGAAATCTTTCATCCAGCAGTTCACTCCTCAAATACCTGCAATAGCCAGGGCCAGAGGAAGCCATAAGGCTGAAACCCTGGCCAGTTTCCCACATGGGTGGCAGGGACCTGTCCACTTGAGCCATCACCTGTTGCCTTTAAGAGTGCACATTAGCAGGAAACCATGACCCGGAGCGGAGCTGGGCCTCAAACCCAGGCACTCTGATATGGGAAGGAGCTGTCCAAAGCAGTGTCTTAACTGCTATAACAAGAGTAAACGGAGGAAAACCTCCAGCAGTCACCACTTCTCATGACCATTCAAAACATTCAGAGCTGTAGTTTCAGGGATCTGGGCTCTACACCTGAGTTTGTCACAGGTCTGCTCATGCTCTTGGCCAAGTCACTTGCACTTCTGTGGGCCTCGGTTTCCTTCTCTGTAAACGTGAGGGTTAGAGCATACCTGTGCTTGTCAAAATCGGGATGGGAGGAATTCAAACCATCTATTGTCCAAATGCTGGCTCTGGAGCACCTTGTCTCCGCCTCACAATGGCGGTGGGCCAGTATTCCTGACAGGAGTCTATGGTACTTCTTAGCTGTGATGGAATCTTAGTGGTTAAAACATCAGGCTAGACAAGTTTTATCTCTGTCCCTGACATGTTGCAATTCTATTACATAACAAGCTCTCTGATAAGTAGATTGAGTCACGGTTAGCAGAATACAGGCTTTGGAAACAGCCGTGCTGGCTTACCTCTATGAGGTCTACCTTAGTATCCTTACAGGTAAAATGGAGTGACAATTCCCACGCCCCAAGGCTGTCATTAGAATTAAATGTTAAAGGACATAAAACGCTTAACTTTGTGCCCAGTACACAGTAAGGAGCCACAGATGACAGCCCTTTGTATGAGATCTACAATGGAGGGTAGAAAGTAATCCGTGCCGTCGCCCCAGTGTATAAAAGGAACGGCCAGAATTCCAACTTCGGTACCTAGGAAACCAGGAAGTTGCTGCGACAAAGAGGATGCACGGGTCGAGCTGGGAAGCACAGAGAGGCTGACTGCCTGTGGGGACGGGGAGCGGGGGTTGGGAGAGTGCTCCAAGTGAAAGTGACAGCGCTGGCAGTTCACTCCAGTACCTCTAAAACAACAACAAAACCCTGCCCCTTTCCTCGCCGGCTTCTGGCCAGCCCCGTCAATACTCCACCTTGAGCACGATGCTGAGGTCCTGTACCGGCTCCTCGTTGAGGTGCAGGCGGCCAGCCCGGAGGGCGGCCTGGTAGTAGGCCAGCGGCTGGGCCCGGAACTCGGTGCTGAAGACGTGCAGCAAGCTGTGGCCCACCCAGCGGCCTTTGCAGTAGGTACGGAAGTCAAAGTAATAGGGCCGCACCTTGCGCAGACCTCCCTCGAAGTAGTAGCTGGTCTCTGCAAAGTGCTCATCGCTGAAGCTCACCCCAGTTCGCCGCTTCTTCGGGGGCGGCACCACGCGTTCCCCGGCGGCGCCCCGCCGCTTCTTCCGCTTGCCTGGGCCGGGGGCTGCAGCCGAAGCCTGCTCTCCACCTCCGGGGCTCTGCTCCCTGTTTCCCGGGGCCGGCTCCGGGAGCCCTGGGAGCGGCTCACGCCTCGCGTCGCCACCAGCGTCACCGTTTTGTTGAGCCGGGGCCCTCAGCATGCCCGCTGCCTCGGCCTCGGCCGACAGTGTTTCTGCCATTCGGCTCCAAGAGACACCCCAAGTCTTGGTGAAGCAGAGGGGACGTAAGTCGAAGAGCCGCTGCACGGGAACCCTAAGCCACCAGCAAGTGCTCAGCCACATAACCTCGCTGTCGCTGCTCCAAAGTCGCGATCTGAATACGTCACTCGGCATCAACCAATCAGTGAAGCCCAATGCCAAGGCGGGGGTCCGCGTGTCAGATGAATGAGGGAATTACTTGAGCCAGCGAAGCTGACCGCTGGGCTAGTGGGGAGGTTGTGAGGCTGTCTCGCCATAAGTGACCCCATGCGGACATCCTCCTACCCGCGAGACCCGGGTATTTCGTAAAGGAGACCTTTGGGATTGCTCCGTGTAAAAGCTACGGCGGTCGATCGCGTGCATTCCCTGTGGATATGCTCAAGGTTCTGAGGGTCTGGGGAGAAGCTTGAAAGGAGCTTTATTTAAAGCAGAACAAAAACAAACAACCGAAAAACCAGAATGAGGGTTGCTAAAATCTGTAAATAAGCTAAAACCCACCGAATTGTATATTTTAAAGTGGATGTGACACCTCAAAAAAGCTGTTATATACTCCTATGTATTTAAAACAGAAGCGATGTTGTCACATCTTGCATCTTGCGCAAACTACCCTAACAGCATGAGAATTAGATTTCCCATTTGCCTCCCATGTGTTCCCATCTGGGTTAAATATGCAGGTGAATCAGAAGATGTACTTTTTTACTTTCTTAAAAAATTTTTATTTATTTATTTATTTGAAAGTCAGAGTTACACAGAGAGAGGAGAGGCAGAGAGAAAGAGGTCTTCCATCTGATGGTTCACTCCCCAATTGTCAGCAATGGCTGGAGCTGCGCGGATCCGAAGCCAGGAGCCAGGAGATTCTTCTGGGTCTCCCACACAGATGCAGGGGCCCAAGGACTTGGGTCATCTTCCACTGCTTCCCCAGGCCATAGCAGAGAGCTGGATGGGAAGTGGAGCAGCCAGGTCTCAAACCAGCACCCATATGGGATGCCAGCACTGCAGGCAGTGGCACTGGCCCCAGAAGATGTCCTTTCTAAGGTTTTTAAATGCAAAATAATGAATCCAATTCTAATTAACTTCATCAGAGGAATTGAAAGGATTTTGGTGCCTCATAAAATTCACAAGAGAGCTGGAAAACAGGTCAGAGAGAGAGAGTCCAGTCAAGAGAAGCCAAAGTCTCTGAGACCAAAGAAACCCAATGCCGAAGTACTCCGTCCTGAAGCCCTTGGCCCCTGAGGTACACCTAAACCTCTCTGCATCTCTGTGTCCTTCTCTCAAGGTTCAGAGTTCTGCCAAGGAGCCTTCCATCACCTAAGCCTGGGTCACAGGTCTGAGCCCTCACTTCCAAGGTGCCTGCAGATAGAAGAATTTGCCTCTCTTTAGTTTCCAGAGTGGAATTCCTCCAAATGAGCAGGCAGTTGGATGCTAGGGTGCCAAAAAATGGAAAAATGTCCAGTCTAACTCAGGAGACAGACCATTCTCCTTACTGGTTTTTTATGATATAAAATGCTAGTGTTGACTTAGGGCATTTTTATCATATGTGTTAGCACCCTGGAGAGGAGAAAGGGAAGTCTGTCTTTTAGCTGAATTCCTTCTACAAGTCATCAGTCTCACCAGTCTAACCAAGGGATTGCAGATGATATCCCTTGCAGCCTGTGGTACCCAAAGCCACAAAACTCTATGTGCTGAATAGCCTGATTCCCAACTCACTCCTTAAGAGGTCACATTTTCCATTGGTTGTAGAACATTAGAAACAAACTGCTTCAAATGGGCACCAACTCTGAAGTGAGTCACCATTACAAGAGATAGCACCTTATTTAAAAGAACAGTTCTTTCTCTCTCTAAAAAAGTATTTATTTGCTTGAAAGGCAATGAGAGAGAGAGAGAGAGAGAGAGAGAGAGAGAGAGAGAGATTATCCATTTGCTGGTTTACTTCCAAAATGGCCACAACAGTCAGTGTGGGGCCAGGCTGAAGCCAGGAACCAGGAGCTCCATACAGATTTCCAAGGCGGTGGAAAGGACCCAAATACTTGGGTCATTTTCTGTTGCTTTTCCCAGGCACATTAGCAGGGAACTGGGTTGGAAGCAGAGTAGTTAAGACTCTAACCACTATTCCCATGAGTTACCAGTGTCATAGGAAGCAGCCCAACTCACTCTGCCACATGCTGCCCCCCAAATAATTTCTGAACATGTCTAGACTTAGATCTGGAGATATCAAAGTCAGAAATACTGGGTTCCTGATCTCAATAAAAGCATAGGCCAGTTGAGAAGACATTAAAAAACACATTGGCATTAATTACACTGCAGTAAAGCAGTGAGTCTGAGTTAGAGGGCTGCCGACTGGTTTCTCATGGCTTCCCGGTGTCAGCAGTCTTTGGGAAGGGGGACATTGATGGATCTGGTTTGAATTTGTTCAGTGTACCATTAATCAGACTCAGAGAAATGGATAAAACACCAATTTTTAAATTTAGGCTAATGTAAGTTTAAATTATAAAATGTAATCTTCCCGAATCTGGGCTATTTGTGTCCACTGTCAATGGCACCCTCATCCAAGTATCATGATACCTATGAAGCTGTTAGAGTCGACCGCCCGAAAAACGTCACCAAGAGACACGTCTCTTATGCAAACAGCATGGGGAAGTTTTATTGATTATCCAGCATGCTGGGGCTGTCTGATCATCATGAGCAGAGCAGCCCCGAATAACCAAAGGTTAGGGTTTATAAAGGCAAAAACCGCAAAACCGGGAAGGGGAAGAGAATACACTGTTGTTAAGCGGTTGCTAAAGTCTTACAATCAGCAATTATGATCTTAAGACATAGACAAATCACATCTTCATTATTAGCCCAGGTAACCCAGGTGCAACCTTTCTACTTTTAAGCTTGAGCAATCATGCTAGGGGGTTTTTGTGCGTTGCCAAGGGTGATGTAGTGCACTGCTATTGTCTGACTATTTGAGATCATAGTTTCAGACCAGAGTCTCACGGTGTGGGGGTTGCTTTCCCAGAATGCAGTCTCAAGTGCTCCAAAATGGAGTCCCTACTGTCAAGGTGCTACTTTACTGTTTTATTTTTACAGCTGCACTAGGAAGGTTTAAACCTGTAAGCTTAAGCTTAACTTTTTACACCCGCACATATACAATTTTAACTCTTCAAAGCCAAATTTGAAATCTAGGCAGATAAAAGAGTTTAAGTCGTGAGGCCATGGAGTGGCTTGATGAAGCACTGATAAACCTATGACAGTGCCTGTTCCTGTGAATAAGATACTGTGATTTTCATGCCTCTCTATAAAGAAACACTGACAAACCTTGTCTCCTGCTCGCTCCTTTTCTAGTCTCCTCGCTTTCCACTTCGTTCTGTTTTCATAGTCTAAGAATGGTTATAAACGGGAGTGACAGGGTAAATACCTCATGGTGGTACTTTCGTGTGGTGGTAGTTATTACTACCATAGCCACAGGGGTGGGATTTGGAAACATCTGGAGACTATATCCTCAACCAAGTTCCTGACGCTGATTGCTGATGCCTTTTCTCACATGTTTCTTTGGGAGAGAATAATGGGCCCTGGAAATTGAACACAGGGAGTTGTCCTTCAAGGAAAATGCTGGTAGTTGGTGAGGGGTATCAAAAGTCATCTCCTAGACTAAAGCATTTCTGACACACACACCCTCGTCATTAAGCTTTGCTGTTATCTGTAGACTCTGCCTGTATCGCACAATCCCCATAGGCTAAGCTGCAAGGGTCTCTGGGACCCACTCCAATCTTGAATGAACGCTTAGAACAAAGCAAGAGCTGGGAATCTAATGACCGAATGAGAGGGAAAGCTTTGTAACTCTGTGAATGGGACCCGGTCTCCGGTGAGGCGAAGCAAAAAAGCTACCAAAGTGTTCTACTTGCATAGCAACGGGGCGAAATTTTCCGAGACAAATACTTGCCCAGAGAATTGCCAGGGAGGTGAACTTCCTTTTGGGGGACAAAGAAAAGTCAAAGGTTTTTTAAGCCATGCTTGCCTATCAGCAGGAAATGAATGGATTCAGGGCTGGAACCCACAGATCTACCAGCAGTCAATCTATCCCCGCCGGGAATAGGAGAGAGGCAGGGTCCTGGGCGAGAGGCTCCACCGTTTCCCGGCAACCGCAGCCCCACCCACCGCTCTCTGCTTTTCACTTTCTCCCGACCTCCATTTGACCAATCCACTTACACAACATGGCCGGGGAGGACGGTAATTGGAGGACTCCTAGGCTCCGTCACTCAGAGACTCCGCCCCCCCGTGTTTCTTCCTGGCTGCCAGCTACAGAGCCGACGAGTCCAGCTTCTGCGGGCTGCTGGGCAGGCGTTTGCGGTAGGTTTGGAGGGGCCAGGATGCCCTGCCTTTTGTATCCTCCCCGTGGCTTGACCCTGGGATAGCATAGAGGGTGTCAGGGACCTGATTCATCGCGCCCAGCCGGTCCTTGAGGCCGGAGCGACTAAGGCCTGCCTGCCTGGGGTCTGGACGCAGGGTTCGCTGCGCGGTTCTAGACGCCCGAAGGGCAGGGGGCCGTGGGTCTCCGGTGCGAGCAAAATTTCGGTTTGGCTTAGATGCCGACGACTTCGGGCGACGGTGTCCCTGGCATCAGTTCACCCAGGGCCCCCCTGACGTGTGTCCCTTTTACCTCGGGCCTGTGCGCTGCCTGGGCTCTGACCTTTTCTCGTGTAGCCTTCCTAATCTCTAAGGCCATCTTGGAAGAAAGTGTGTACCTAACCTAAAAGCCTGGAGAGTTAGAAAGGCCCCAGGCCCTGTGCTTGTCCTTGCCGCCCACCCCTGCTGGGGCTGCTGTCACTCTGCTTCCCGGAGCGTTGGGATGGGGTAAAAATAGGGATTTGGGAGCGCACAGGTCTGGATTCCAGTTAAGGAGTCACCATTTATCAGTACTGTGCCCGAGCTTTCATCTGGAAACAGACGAAAATGCCGTTCAGTTTTTCTGGCCGTTCAAAGCATGAGCCATAAACCCAGCTTCTACTTGCGGTTCAGTACGCGGCCCTTGCTTTGACAGACACCTCGCCAAGCGGCGCTTACTTTCTTCATATACACAGACCCAGCTGTGCAGGAGCTTTCGTGTCCAATTGAAGATAGCATTTAACTAGCTGAGAAAGGAGTGATTTTAGTTTAGGGAAGTACAGGTTCACTGTCCACACTAGAACCTTCTGGGAAATTCTTCTGTGCTTGTGTGGTAAAATATAGTGCAAGATGTATCATTGTAACTGTGTTCGTGTGTACAACTTCCTGGTATTTACATGGTCATGCAGCCAAAATCGCCTTCCATCTCTATCTTCTTCATTTGTCCAAATAGAATCTCTGTACCCATTAAACAACTCCTGGTTCATCCCTCCTCCCGCCCCCAGTGTCCACCATTCTATTTTCCTTTTAAAAAAGTATTTAAAAGAATATTTATTTGAAAGGCAGAGGCTGGCGCCGTGGCTCACTAGGCTAATCCTCCGCCTGCGGCACCAGCACCCCAGGTTCTAGTCCTGGTTGGGACACCAGTTCTGTCCCGGTTGCTCCTCTTCCAGTCCAGCTCTCTGCTGTGGCCCGGGAAGGCAGTGGAGGATGGCCCAAGTGCTTAGGCCCTGCACCTGCATGGGAGACCAGGAGAAGCACCTGGCTCCTGGCTTCGGATTGGCGCAGTGCACTGGCCGTAGTGGCCATTTGTGGGGTGAACCAACGGAAGGAAGACCTTTCTCTCTGTCTCTCTCTCTCACTGTCTGTTAAAAAAAAAAGAAGGAAGGAAGGGAGGGAGGGAGGGAAGGGAAGGATGGGAAGGAAGGGAAGGAAGGCAGGCAGGAAGGAAGGAAGGAAGGAAGGCAGGCAGGCAGAAAGAGAGAAAGAGAGTGATCTTCCACTTACTAGTTCACTCCCCAAATGCCCATAGTGATCAGGGCTGGGCCAGGTTGAAGCCAGGAGCCAGGAACTCCATCCAGGTCTCTTATGTGGTGCAGGGACTCCAAGCACTTGAACCATCATCCCCTTCTTCCCAGGTGCATTAGCAGGGAGCTGGATCAGAAGTGGAGTATCCAGGTCTAGAACCCGTGGCACCACAGCTCATGCCCCACAATTCTGTTTTCTAACTCTATGAGTTTGACTACTCTAGGTACCTAAGTGGACTCATATAATATTTTCCCTTTGTGTCTGCTTGTAGAAATTCCATTTGTAAAGACTAATTTCATTATGAAAACAACTTGAATGCAGATCTATGAGTTGTCTCGTTGTCATCTGTAACATATGAATCTACTAGAAGACATGTTTTGTTAAACTTTTTTTTCCTACATTTTATTTATTTGAAAGGCAGAGTTAGAGAGAGACAGAAAGAGAGATCTACCATTCATTGGTGCATTTGTTAAATGGCTGCAGCCGCTGAGGCTGGGCCAGGCTGAAACCAGGAGCCAGGATCCTCATCTGGGTCTCCCACAGGGTCCTGGGATCCAAGCACTTGGGCCATCTTCTGCTGCTTTCCCAGGCACATTAGCAGGGAGCTGGATCGGAATTGGACTAACTCCACCTCTCAAATAAGTAAGTCTTCCCAAGACAAAAAAAAAAAAATATATCTAAAAATATTGAGGAGGAGCCAGGACTTGAACCGGTGTCTGCATAGGAGGCTGGCACTGCAGGCAGCAGCTTAACTCACTACACTACAACACCAGTCCTGGCTAAATTTCTTAAGAGCCTGTTATCTTTAACGAATAAATAAATGCCAGAGTATTGCCTACTTATATCGTATGCTTAAACTCAGTCCTTACTCACTTGAGCTTCTGTTGTGTAGCTCAGACTCCAGATGAAAATGTTTGAGAGTGTTGACACTGCAGCCACAAGATCCGGCAGGGATCTCTGGGCTGAAATCTGCCCCTGTCTGCCAAATCCTGACCAAGAAGATGCTGCCAACAACGCCTTCTCGGACTCCTTTGTGGATTCTCACCGGGCAGGTGAAGGCCAAAGGGAGGCAGCCAGCTTCCCCGTGCAGCCAGCTGTGAAGCCCTGGGCGCCTTTGCAGGATTCGGAAGTGTATTTAGCATCCCTAGGTAAGTTACATCTTGCTGACTTGTCTCTCTCAATCAGAAGCTGCTGGTTTGGGGAAGCATGCTGAAGTTCCTTTATATCAAACCTGATGTCTTTTTTGTCCTCACCACATGTATCTGTGAGATGTAATTCAGGGGGTGATGTAGGTTGGTGGTCATACACTCCCTTTCCTTACACAGTTTTTGTTAAGTCCTGCCTCTGATCATTTCATCTAAGTTCTGTTTTATTTCCGGGCATTCTATAGAACTGTCTTGCCTTCTGTCGGTGGCCTATATGAGTATATTCAGATAACCCAGAATTGTTTAACTTGATGCCATCCTGAAAGTAAAGGTCAGAGTCCCAGAGCTATCTGTGGATTTTTGATGCTGGAGTTTGAAACACTGTTCTATTTGATTGATTATTGGGAATGAGAGTGTCATAACATTCTACCTCTTGTTAGCCATTTTATTTTAAAAATATTTTCTGAACATACTTACCACATGCTCTCCTGTGGCCATAGTGTGAGTCAATCTCTAGAAAAACTCCCAGACACAGGAAAGAGGCTCAGATGATCCCATTCTGGGAGAAAAAGACCTATCAGTCTAGGACCATGATGGCCACTCTTGGGAATCATTGTATTCTTAGTAAATATCCATGAGACCATGCATGTGCTACAAAACCAAGACTGGGGGGCCAGTGTTGTGGTGCTGCTGGTTAAGCCACAGCCTTTGATGCCAGCATCCCATAAGGGCATCATTTTGAGTCTCAGTTGCTCCGCTATCAATCCAGTTCTCTGCTAATATGCCTGGGAAAGCAGCAGAAGATGGCTCAAGTGTTTGGACTCCTGCCACCCATGTGAGAGACCTAGATGGAGTTCTAGGTTCTTGGCTTCCCAGGCCTGGCTGTTGTGGCCATCTGGGGAGTGAACCTATGGATAGAAGTTTCTCTCTCTCTCTCTCTCTCTCTCTCTCCCTCCCTCCCTCCCTCCCTCCCTCCCTCTAGACAGAGATAGAGAGAGAGAGAGAGAGAGAGTCAGAGCCAGAGATAGAGACACAGAGAGAGAGGTCTCGTATCTGCTGGTTCACTCCCCAACTGGCCGCGATAGCCAGGCCTGGGCCAGGCCAAAGCCAGGAGCCAGGAGCTTCTTCTGGTTCTCTCACATGGGTGCAGGAACCCAAGGACATGGATCATCTTCCACTGCTTTCCCAGGCACATTAGCAGGGAGCAGGATTGGAAGTGGAGTTACTGGTTCTCCAACCAGCGCCCATATGGGATGCCAGCATCGCAGGTAGCAGCTTAACCTGTTACACCACAACACCAGCCCCAAGAGCATCTACTGTTAAGGTCAACAATTAAAAACTTAGTCAGGGGCCTGTGCTGTGGCGCAGCAGGTTAACGCCTTGGCCTGAAGTGCTGGCATCCCATATGGGCGCCAGTTCTAGTCCCGGCTGCTCCACTTCCCATCCAGCTCTCTGCTATGTCCTGGGAAAGCAGTGCAAGATGGCTCACGTCCTTGGGCCCCTGCACCCACATGGGAGACCTGGAGGAGACTCCTGGCTCGCGGCTTCGGATCAGCTCAGCTCTGGTTGTTGCGGCCATCTCGGGGAGTGAACCAACGGATGGAAGACCTCTCTCTCTCTCTCTCTGCCTATCCTCTCTCTGTGTAACTCTTTCAAATAAATAAATAAATCTTTAAAAAAAAACTTAGCCAGTTAAACATGAAATATGAATAATCTTTTTTCCATCCTCAAAGAGAAAACCAAACCCTTAAAATATTCTAACATTTATCAACTGTAAGGTGTTTTTTCCGCATGGGTGAGCTCTTGGTGGTAACTTACAGGGGGAAAAAGTGTATTGTTCTGATCAGTGACTGTTAGCTGGTGTGACTTGTTTAGAAGTGAAAGGAGCATTGCAAATCATACAATTTCTATTGTTCTGGGCTTGATGTTCATCTTCCCTCCTCTAAAAACAAAAACAAAAACCAAACACGGCCATCATTTACCCATGTTTTGTAGTTGAAGGCAAGACTAAATTATGACAGAAGGTAAATGGCAATGTCTTCTCTTATGTCACAAAAAAGGAAATCTGTCCAACAATGACTCTTGAAGTGCAGAGAGGAGCAGCTCTCGTCAGGAAGCCGTGGGCACCCTCTCCAGGGAGTCGCAGGAGGTCTGTTTTTATTAGGCTCTAATATCCAGGCCACAAGTTGAACAACTTTTAAAAACATCTTGGGAGACTCTCTTTCTTTAATCAAGAATTTAATCCCACATAAAGAACTTAAAGGTCTCTTATTATTGAATTCTCATCGAGTTAATGAACCAGTGTCTAACGAACCATTGGATTTCTCATCACTTTCTCTAATTCTTTCTCAGGAGATTTGGAAACCACTTCATGTTGCTGCAACAAAAAGAAAAACCATTTACTCCTCAGAGAGATTATTTTATTTTCAAGGAGTCAAAATAGACGATAGTATACACATGTCAGACAGGGAGAACAGGGATTCCATAGAGAGGTACCTGCTGGGCCTCTGTGATTTCAAAGAAAACATGCCATTCATTTATTTATGAGAACCTATGGCTTTTTCCTTTTCTGCGGTTGAAGATTTATTTGCTACAATGCAGGGTGAGGGCATTGTGAAGGAAAAAGAAGAATCTCCACTCCCCTTTCTTCCGTGCTTTGACAGTGAGCTCTCTTTTGCAGGGAGTATGGAGTATAGGAGAACTCATCAGCAAGAGAATTTTAACCTGGCATTTTGCCCTTTAGATTTAGCTAAAATGTCATTTCATACTCACTTTCCTTGTTAAGCTGCACTTCCTCTCTCTTTAGAGAAGAAACTGAGAAGAATCAAAGGTTTAGATCAGGAAGTGACTTCGAAGGACATGCTTCGAACCCTGGCCCAAGCCAAGAAGGAGTGTTGGGATCGCTTCCTCCAGGAGAAGCTAGCGTCCGAGTTCTTTGTGGATGGATTGGATTCTGATGAGAGGTAATTTATTCCCAGCCCCGATGCAGGTGCCAGTCTATTCACTGAGGACATTTCTCTTTCCCTAAGGAATTCAGGGATAGTGGCATCTTAGTCCCCAGATTAAACACCAACATCAGATCTCCTGAGCTGAAATTGTCTTTTGTAAAGTTGCTCTATTTGCTCTTAGCCCAGCACATTTCTGAGAATGAGTATTTTTGCCAAAAAGCAAACACCCCAGCTATATCTTGGTCACAGATTGAATAGAACTGAAGACAAACCATTGTCTTCACTTAAAAAAATATTATTTATTTGTTGGAGACAGACAGTGAAAGAACCCCATCTGGTTCACTCCCCAGATGCCCACAACAGTGCCGACCCCAGGACACAGTCATAACTGCTAGGCTAAACACCTGCCCCTGTCTTTTTAAGACTTGAGAAAGTAGTAATCAACCAACAGCCGGACCTGTGTCTTCTCCTGAACCTCCACGGCCTTACAGAGTTTCTATCATATTACACTCACTCAATAAATGTGTTTAGACTACATGAATGAATTTATTAGCACCTACAGTGTGATGGCACTGTACTTGGTCTCATGGGGGCGGAGTGTAAGGATGTTTTATATTCATTTTGATGTTGTTGTTCCTTAGAACTAGTTGGGGGAAAGATGACATATACAATAGTACTTCAAAAAGGTCATGGAAAAATGTAATTAAAAGATCGTTTCATGGGCCGGTGCTGTGGCACACCAGGTAGAGTTGCCGCCTGTGGCGCCAGCATCCCATCTGGGTGCAGGTTCAATTCCCAGCTGTTCCTCTTCTGATCCAGCTCTCTGCTAATGTGCCCAGGAAAACAGTGGAAGTGCTTGGGCCCCTGCATCTACATGGGAGACCACGAAGAATTCTGGCTCCTAGCTTCATCTTGGCACAGCCCCAGCCATTGTGGCCATTTGGGGAGTGAACTAGCAGACAGAAGATCTCTCTGTCTCTCCCTCTCTCTCTGTAACTCACCTTTCAAATACATAAATAAATCTTGAAAAAGAAAAAGATAATTTGAGGTGGGCATTTAGCCTGGCAGTTAAGGTGCCAGTTCACACACCCGGATCACATATCAGAGTGCCTAAATTCAATACTTAGCTCTGGCTCCTGACTCCAGCTTCCTGCTAATGCAGCCCCTGGGAGGCAGTGGTGATGGCTCAGTAGTTAAATCCCTGTCATCCATGTGGGAGACCTGAACCGGGCTCCCAACTCCTGGCTTCAGTCCTGGTCAGGGGCTGTGGAAGTTATTTGGGGAGAGAACCAGTAGATGGGAGTTCTCTCTCTTTCTCTTTGTGTGTCAGATAAATACATTTTTTTAAAAGGTAAGTTTACTTTGGTATAAAATATTTTTAAAATCCATTTTTAATATACATTTCCCGTGAACTTTTTTTTTTAAAGATTATTTATTTGAAAATCAGAATTACAGAGGAAGAAGGAGAGACAGAGAGAGAGAGAAGACTTCCACCCTCTGGTTCACTCCCCAATTGGCCGCAATGGCCAGAGCTGTGCTGATCTGAAGCCAGGAGCCAGGAGCCTCCTCCAGGACTCCCACGTGGGTGCAGGGGCCCAAGGACTTGGGCTGTCTAATACTGCTTTCCCAGGCCATAGCAGAGAGCTGGATTGGAAGAGGAGCAACTGGGACTCGAACCGACACCCATATGGGATGCTGGCACTGCAGGTGGCAGCTTTACCTGCTACACCACAGCGCCAGCCCCTCCTATAAACTTTTTGAAGACCCCTTGAATATAAACATACTGCACAATGCAAGGCAGCATGGGAGAAGAGCCAGATGAGTGAGAGTGACAGAATACCCTTTGAGAGGTGAGGGCTCGTGTTCAGCAAGGGAAGGGGGCAGGACATGAACAGAACCTGCGGGTGGTCTGGTGGCAGAAGGGTGGGAGAGGGCTTTCTGCCGCCATGAGGAGCATGGTGTCTGACACCCAAGAAGACGGCTCTGCCACTTACTGGTTTATGTTCTTAGGAAAGTAACATGTATGTGCTCAGTGTGCTGATCTGTGAAGTGGAGTGATAGCTCTTACCTCATAAGGTTATTATGAGGGCTAAATGGGGACTAGCGTTGTGGCATAGTAGAGGAAGCCGCTGCCTGCAATGCCGGCATCCCATATGGGCGCCAGGTCATATCCACATTGCTCCACTTCCCATCCAGCTCCCTACTAATGGCCTGGGGAAAAGCAGTGGAGGATGGCTGAAGTGTTAGGGTTCCTGTTACCCAGGTAACAGGAAGTATTTGGGTACCTGTTACCATAGGAGACCTGGAAGAAGCTCCTGCCTCCTGGCTTCAGCCTGGTCCAGCCCAGGCTGTTGGGGCCATCTGGGGAGTGAACCAGTGAGTGGAAGATCCTCTCTGTCTTCCCTCTCTCTCTGTAACTCTGACTTTTGAATGAATAAATAAATCTTTAAAAAAAATACCAAAACATAGGTTGCAGGGCAGGCATTTAGCCTAATGGTTGAGCCACTCCCAATCCTATATTGGAATAGCTGGGTTTGGTACCTGCATCTGGCTTCTGACCCCGGCTTCCTGCAAATGCACACTCTAAGAGGGAGTGAGTGATGATTCAACGAACTGGGTTCCTGTCACCCACATGGGAGACATGGATTAATTTCACAGTTCCCAGTTCCCAGCTCTCAGCTCTGGCCTCTATGCATCTGGGGAGTGAAGCAACAGGTGGGAGCTCCCCCCACCCCATATCCTAAATAAAAAGATAAAAAGAATTGCTAAGTAAAGGGTTTAGATAGTGCTTGGCATATGGTAAGCATAATATTAGGGCTAGCTATTATTTATATCATTCTTCTTAATTATAAAGTTTGGTAAGAAGTTATTGAGGGGGCCTGCACTGTGGTATAGTGGGTAAAGCCACTGCTTACAATGCTGGCATCCCATGCAGGCACCCGTTTGAGTCCTGGCTGCTTCACTTCCAATCTACCTCCCTGCTAATGTGCCTGGGAAAGCAGCAGAAGATGGCCCAAGTGCTTGGGCCTCTGCTCCCACGTGGGAGACCCAAATGGAATTCCTGGCTCTTGGCTTTGAATCGGCCCAACTCCAGCTGTTGAGGCCATTTGGAGAGCGAGCCAGCAGATGAAAGATCTCTCTCTTTCTGTAACTCTGCCTTTCAAATAAAGAAGCAAATCTTAAAAAAAAAAAAAATAAGTAATTGAAAATAGAAATTAGGTAGCAGAACAAAACCTGAATTTTAATAAATGCTCTTAGGAGACACTAAGACAACCTAAATTTGCAACACATCATTAACATTGTTTTTAAAAATATTTATTTATTTTTACAGATTTATTTTATGTATTTGAAAGGCAGAGTTACAGAGTCAGAGACAGAGATCTTCTATCTGCTGGTTCATTCCCCAAATGGTCACAATGGCTAGGGCTGGGCCAAGCCAAAGCCAAGAGTCAGGAACTTCTTCCTGGTTTTCATGTGGTTGCAGCGGCCCAAGCACTTGAGTCATCTTCTGCTGCTTTCCCAGGCCATTAGCAGGGAGCTGGAGAGGAAGTGGAGCAATCAGGACTCGAACCGGTGCCCGTATGGGATGCCAGCATCACAGGTGGTGCCAGCCCCTAACATGGGCTTTGGGAGTCCCACTGTGTCGATGAAGATACCGCTGCTGAAAGCACAGATAGCATATGACTAGAACTTCATAGTCAACGTTTTCCATTTTAATTTGCAAAGTGCTTTCACTTACGTCATCGCCAATCCTGAATCAGCACGCCCCAGAACCTAGAGAAGTCAGTGTGGCGGCTAAGGTCAGGCCAGCTGCCCTCTGTAGGCTCAGAAAATGATAAAAACTGTGCTCTTCTCTGTCTCTTCAAGGCTCAACCTCACTGAGCCCTCAACTGCCCAAACACAGAAGACTTGGAGATGCACAGATTCCTGGCCCACCACGGCTTTGGTTTTGACTTCAGTTCTGTCTCCCCTTGAATATTTGCCTCCTCTACAGTTCTGAGAAGAAAAGACACAGCTGTCTCCTGCAGGATTCACAAGCAGGAATTCTCTTGCTGTGAAATCACATAGCACGTTTCTGGGTCTTCGTCCCTACCTAAGATGATGAGATTTCCCCTTCTGTACAGAAATGATTTGAAAATTCTCTGGCCAGCACCGCGGCTCAATAGGCTAATCCTCTGCCTTGCGGCGCCGGCACACCGGGTTCTAGTCCGGGTCGGGGTGCCAGATTCTGTCCCGGTTGCCCCTCTTCCAGGCCAGCTCTCTGCTGTGGCCAGGGAGTGCAGTGGAGGATGGCCCAAGTGCTTGGGCCCTGCACCCCATGGGAGACCAGGAAAAAGCACCTGGCTCCTGCCTTCGGATCAGTGTGTTGCGCCGGCTGCGGCGGCCATTGGAGGGTGAACCAACGGCAAAGGAAGACCTTTCTCTCACTGTCCACTCTGCCTGTCAAAAAAAAAAAAAAAAAAAGAAAATTCTGTGGGAAACAGGGGGGGTGAAGATGACATGTCCACGTCATGTCACATGGCCACCAGTCAGTCACTGCCTCACTGCCCTCTGTGGTCTGGGCAGGTTCCCTGGATGTTAGGATGAGCATCAGGAAACAGTCCGGGCATTTGTCTTCAATGTCTGTGTTTGAGGCCGTGGTCTTGTGTGGGTCTTCACGCTTGTGAGGGCCAGCTTGGGACATTCCTCCTGGTGTGCTTTTGGCCTGGGAGTAACGGGCTGAGAAATCCTACTGACCTAAACAGAGTTCTCCTTATCCTGGCCGATGACTGGAACCTGCTCTTCTGGCTGATTTTCTTGGGTAAAGACTGCTGTTGAAGAGCTCGGAACGAATTTCACATCTATTTCTGGCCAATTGTATTTTATGGTGAATGTCTAATAGCTTTAGGGGGCAGGATCCTGGGTACTTAGGGAAGGGGACCATGAGCCTGGCAATTACACAGACAGCAAGACAGCCTCCTGGCAGAGTGGCCATTCCTTTACGGAGGGCCTTTGCCGCTCAGATGTTTCTGTCGTGGGGACTTGCTGTAGGATGAGCCAAGTAAACAAGCCCTACAAGCAAACCAAAACAAACAGCACACTGAGAGCGGAGAAGTGCTGTGAGTATAACAGAGCTTCTGCCTCAGGTCGAAGAGATTGAAAATGCTCAGGTTTCTGCCTAATAACTTGGAATTTGAGTATTTCTTCCTTTTGGCCACTTCTCTCCAATTTTAAGAGAAAAAAGATAGGACGGAGGCCTCAGCTCTTCAGCTGTTCTCATCTGGCCGTCGGAGGCTCTGCCTTCCAAGGGGGCCTGGCGCTGCTTTTTGCCAAAGTGCCCACTAGGGGGTAAATTATGCTGTGGAGCTGCCAGGACGCACAGCTGTCAGAGGAGCACGCTCGTCTCCCCATGTCAGCAGTGAACACAATTGTAGGAAGAAATTGGTGGTGGGCGGGTACGCAGGGTTTGAGTAACTGAGATCATCATTAAGTAATTAACAAGCAAGGTCTGATACAGCCACCCTTTCTCCTGCTCTTTTGTAGCACCTTGGAACATTTCAAGAGGTGGCTCCAGCCAGATAAAGTCGCCATCAGCACAGAGGAGGTCCAGTGTCTGATTCCTCCAGAATCACAGGCTGAGAAGCCAGCAGCCGAGGATGAGCCAGAAGCCGGAAACAAGCCAGTGGCAGCAGAACAATAAATCACACACGAACACACACACGCACACGCACACACACACGCACACTCGCGGCCGCCTGCCGAGCAGCTGTCTCAGGCCCAGAGGGAACAGTGGAGCTCAGAAGCAGCAGCAAAGAGAAATCCAGGGAGAGAAAAGGCCCAGGCTCCCGCTCCGTACAGCAAACAGCTGCAAGCCCCCGAGGACTTGCTTGGGGCTGGCCTGTGTGACTGTCTTGGATGAAGTGACTGACTTAGAGTGTCCTGGATCAAAATGCTGCCTCCCTCTGTGCCCAGCTTGCCTGAGCTCCGTTGCTGCAGGTTAGCGCTCTGGGAAGGCTCCAGGGAGGGACTGGGAGAAACAGGCTCCCTTGTGTAGAACGTGTAGTGAGCCACGTTTCCATGTTTTCTCTTGCCTGTTCTGGGTATGCACACCTGCGCCCCAGGCATTCCCTTGTAAATTGTCAGGGGTGAGTGGGGCAAAGGCAGTGATCTGAGCCCTACATGTGGCTTCTTTAACAAATCTGTAATAAATGCCAGGACCCTAGAGAAAGAGGCTGGTCTGATTCATTCCTTCTGGAGGACATGGGTGAAAATGTGGGCACTTACGTGTGTGTGTGTACATTGTTTATTTTATGCATGGCTTCTCCCCGAGCTTCTTCCTGTACCAGGTTCCATATTAGACTTGTAAATACGGTTTCGTGTTTGCCACTCCTGAGTACTCCACACTCATTCCCTGTGGCGGCTTTCCTGGCTGAGCTTGAGCCTCCCTCCTAGTTCCCATGTTTTTATGCAGTGTGTGCTGTCCATACGAACCTGTTCTCATCAGAAGAGCTTGTGTGTACTTCTGTGGACCCAGTTCCTCCCAGAGGGATGCTCCCACACAGCGGGGAGGTAAAGACAAATGTGTACCCACAGAGAGGAGCTGGAAACCTTTGCCAACCTCCTGTTTTTGTTTTTTAAATATTTAATTGAAAGGCAGAGAGAGAGAAAATCTCCCATCTGCGTGTTCACTTCCCACATGCCTGCAACAGCCAGGGCTGAATCTGGGAGCCAGGAACTCAATCCAGGTCTCCCAGGTGGGAAACCAATGGCTTAAGCCATTGACTGCTGCCTTCCAGGGTCTGTGTTAGTTGAGTAGAGTTGGGTATCACATCCAGGCACTCTGATATGGGACACAAGTCTCTGAACTATTGGGCCATAACCCTGCTCCCAGCCTCCTGGTTTTAACATGTGCCTCTGACAGTCCAAAGCTTGGGGTCTGAGGGTAGAATTCTGAGGCCATGGCTCAGGTCATGGAGCTTCATCCTGGGTAGTAATTACCAAATCCCTAATTATGAGTAAAGTGGCTATACAAATCTTCAGAGAGGAACAGGGGTTTGGCTTGGCGTAAGGGGCTGGCATTGTGGCGCAGCAAGTTAAGCTATTGCTTGTAGCGACATCCCATAGAAGCACAAGTTCAAGTCCTGGCTGCTCCACTTCTGATCCAGCTCCCTGCAGTTGTAGCCATCTAGAGAGTGAACCAGCAGATGGAAGATTGCTCTCTCTCTCTCTCTTTGTTTTTCAAATAAATAATTTTTTAAAATATTTATTTATTTATTTGAAAGGCAGAATTACAGAAAGGCAGAGGCAGAGAGAGCTAGAGAGGTCTTGCATCCACTGTTCACTCCCCAAATGACCATAACAGCCAGAGCTGAGCTGATCTGAAGCCAGGAGCCAGGAGTTTCTTCCAGGTCTCCCAAGCTGGTGCAGAGGCCCAAGGATTTGGGCCATCTTCTACTGCTTTCCCAGGCCACAGCAGAGAACTAGATCAGAAGTGGAGCAGCCAGGACTCGAACCAACACCCATATGGGATGCCAGCACTGCAGGCAGTGGCTTTACCCACTACACCACAGCACTGGCCCCTCAAATAAATAAATCTTAAAAAGTAAAAAGGCTAATTAAGACTCCCATGTCTCAGGGCCCGTGCTGTGGCACAGCAGGTAAGGCTATCACCTGCAGTGCTGGCACCCCCATATGGGTGTAGGTTCTAGTCCTGGCTGCTCCACTTCTGATCTAGTTCTCTTTCTGGCCTGGGAAAGCAGCAGAAGATAGCCCAAGTCCTTAGGCCCCTGCACTTGTGTGGGAGACCCAGAAGAAGCTCTTGGCTCCTGGCTTCAGATCAGCACAGCTCTGGCCATTGCAGCCAACTGGGGAGATAACCAGCAGATGGAAGATCTCTCCTTCTCTCTCTGTGTAACTCTGACTTTCAAATAAATAAATAAATAAATCTTTTTTAAAAAAGACTCCTATGTCTCACATTGAAGTGCCTGGATTTGATACCTGGCTCTGACTCCAGTTCCACTAATGTAAAACCTGGAATTCGGTGGTGATGACTTCAGTAACTGGGTTCCTACTTCCCACAGGAGGGACATGGATTGCATCCCCAGTTCCCAGCCTCAGTTTGGTCCAATCCCAACCACTGTGGGAACTTGGGGAGTGAACCAGCAAATGAGAGTTCTTTGTCAATCTGTCACCTTACCTCTCAAAAATGAACAAAAGCCCTTCAGAGAACATTTGTGTATTTTTTAAATCAGGTATCTTTGCTCAAAAGGCTAGGGCCCAACCAGATGATTCTATATATTTACTTAATGGTGAGTATTTTTGTTGTAACTTCCAGATGTACTTTCCTCTTTTTTCACTAATGCTTTTATCTTTTATTTTTACTGGGTTTTGTTAGTAGTAAAATAGCCTGACGTAGAAAGTGGCACTGGAGCCAGTGCTATGGCATAGTAGGTTAAGCCTCCACCTGTGGCACATGGGCTCTGGTTCTAGTCCTCGCTGCTGCACTTCTGATTCAGCTCTCTGCTGGTGGCCTTGGAAAGCAGTAGAGGATGGCCCAAGTGCCCCTGTGCCCAACTTGGAAGACCCAGAGGAAGCTCCTGGCTGCTGGCTTCAGATTGCAGCCATTTGGGGAGTGAACCAGTGGAGGGAGGACCTCTCTCTCCATCTCTCCCTCTCTCTGTAACTCTGTCTCTGGAATGAAAAATGAATGAATGAATAAATAAATAAATAAATCTATCTTTAGGGGAAAAAAAAAAGAAAGTGGGCTTGGTGGCCTCTGGACATTTTGAGGAAGTCAGAACACTGATGATCACCTGGCCCTGGACTGAGCTTAGAAGCTGCCATCTCGGCCGGCGCCGCGGCTCACTAGGCTAATCCTCCGCCTAGCGGCGCCGGCACACTGGGTTCTAGTCCCGGTCGGAGCGCCGGATTCTGTCCCGGTTGCCCCTCTTCCAGGCCAGCTCTCTGCTGTGGCCAGGGAGTGCAGTGGAGGATGGCCCAGGTGCTTGGGCCTTGCACCCCATGGGAGACCAGGAAAAGCACCTGGCTCCTGGCTCCTGCCATCGGATCAGCGTGGTGCACCGGCCGCAGCGCCCTGGCTGCGGCGGCCATTGGAGGGTGAACCAATGGCAAAGGAAGACCTTTCTCTCTGTCTCTCTCTCTCTCACTGTCCACTCTGCCTGTCAAAAAAAAAAAAAAAAAAAAAAAAAAAAGAAGCTGCCATCTCTACTCTGTATTCAGATCCCAGCCCTCAGGCTTCCTCCAGGGCCATCTGATGGCTTTCAGCTGGATGGAGAGGGTTTTTTCTTTTAAAAAGGACTGGAGCAGGTGTTTAGCTTAGCTGTTAAGGCTCCTGTGTCCTACCCTGGGATACCTGTGTTCAGTTTCCAGTTCTGGTTCCTGACCCCAGCTTCCTGCCAATGTAGACGATAGGAGCAAGTGATGATGACTCAAGTAATTGGATTGCTGCCACTGGCTGGTGGAGCAGCCAGGACTAGAACCAGAGCCCAAGTGGGATGCCAGTGCCACAGGTGGAAGCTTAACCTACTATGCCATAGCACTGGCTCCAGTGCCACTTTCTATGCCAGGCTATTTTACTACTACATGGGAAGCCTGTACTGCTTCCCTGATTCCTAGCTCTGGCCCTGGCCATTACTGGCATTTGGGGAGTGAACCAGTGGATGGGAGATACCCCCCACACACCTCTTTCTTCTTCACTCTGAAATATATTTTTTCTCTCTGCATCTCTCTCTCTCTCTCTTTCTCTCTCTCTGTCACTCTCCCTTTCAAATAAAGAAAAATGAATCTTGGGGCCAGTGTATGGCATAACAGGTTAAGCTGGCAACTGCAATGCTGGCATTCAGGCTCCTGGCTTCAGCCTGGCCCAGCTTCTGCTGTTGCAGCCATTTTTGGAGTAAACCTGCAGATGGAAGATCTCCCCCTCCCACTTCTTTCTATAATTCTACCTTTCAAGTAAATATTTTTTATAAGACTTGTTTATTTATTTGAAAGGCAGTGGGGCCAGCACTGTGGCATAGTGGGTTAAGCCACCGCCTGCAGTACCAGCATCCCATATTGACATCGATTTGAGTCCCGGCTGTTCCACTTCTGATCCAGCTCTCTGCTGTGGCCTGGAAAAGCAGTAGAAGATGGCCCAAGTCCTTGAGCCCCTGCACCCACATGGGAGACCCAGAAGAGTCTCCTGGCCCCTGGCTTCAGATCTGCGCAGCTCCCACTGATGCAGCCATCTGGGGAGTGAACCATCGGATGGAAAACCTCTTTCCCTCTCTCTCTCTCTCTGCCTCTACCTCTCTATAACTCTGCCTTTCAAATAAATAATTAAATCTTAAAAAAGGGCAGCATTACACAGGGAGACAGAGAGAGAGAGAGAGAGAGAGAGAGAGAATGTTTATATCCACTGGTTCACTCCCCAAATGGCTGCAATGGCCAGAGCTGTGCCAATCCTAAGCCAGAAGCTTCATCTGGGTCTCCCACCTGGGTATCAGGGGCTCAAGCACTTGAGCCACCTGCTGCTTTCCCAGGCACATTAGCAGGGAGCTGGATCGGAAGTGGAGCAGCTGGGACTTGAACCAGTGACCATATGGGATGCTGGTGCCACAGGTGGAAGCTTAATCTGATATGCTACAGACCAGTCCCTCAAATAAATTTTTTTTTAAAAATCTTTACCAAAAAATAAGTGGAGAGTTGGCTTATAGGAACAGGAAAGGAGTTCTAGGACTGAAAGGATTCTAACCCTACATGAAAACCTGGACAAAGTATGGCAGTAAGGACCCTGACTGCCATCCCCTGCTTTGTGAGTTTTTTTTTAAAAATTTTTTTTATTTTTTATTTTTTTGACAGAGTGGACAGTGAGAGAGAGAGACAGAGAGAAAGGTCTTCCTTTTCCATTGGTTCACCCCTCAAACGGCTGCTGTGGCCGGCACACCGTGCTGATCCAAAGCCAGGAGCCAGGTGCTTCTTCCTGGTCTCCCATGGGGTGCAGGGCCCAAGCACTTGGGCCATCCTCCACTGCCTTCCCAGGCCACAGCAGAGAGCTGGATAGGAAGAGGAGCGACCGGGACAGAATCCGGCGCCCCGACTGGAACTAGAACCTGGGGTACCAGCGCCGCAGGCGGAGGATTAGCCTAGTGAGCTGTGGTACCGGCGTGAGTTTTTAAAGAATTACTATTTATTTGAAATAATAATTGACAGAGCTGAGCTGATCCGAAG